GAGGAAGAAGCAGACTCCCCCGCGGAGCAGGGAGGCAGATGAGGCACTTGATTCCAGGACACTGGGATCATGACCTGAGCCGAAAGCAGATGCTTAACAGACTGAACCACCCAGGTGTCCCAAGACCTAATTAACTTTTAAGGGGAAGCTTACAGTCTGGAAATATAGTTTAATGATTCTGAATTACTTTTCTTTAATAAATTAAATTCATGACCTTATGGGGTTTTTTGTTTTTGTTTTTGTTTCATTTTGTTTTGTTTTTGCTATTTTCCCCTTTAGAATAGATATCTCTAATTCACTACCTCTCCCAACACCTTTCTCTTCCTCTGACATGTTGTTTTCTCATCCCTGCTTTTAAACCTCAGGCAGCTTTCAGGGATAGAACAACATTTGTATAGTAATACTAATTTAAACCTGTATATGATTTGACATGCTTTAATTTTAGGGAACTCCTAGAGTTGATGATTTCTGTCTCGGTGAGTGCCATGCCCATACAGATTTAACTTCAGAGCATTTTCTTTTTCTTTTTTTAAAAAATATTTTATTTATTTATTTGACAGAGAGACACAGCGAGAGAGAAAGCACAAGAAGGTGGGGTGGGAGAGGGAGAAGCAGGCTCCCCGCCGAGTAGGGAGCCTGATGCGGGGCTCGATCCCAGGACCCTGGGATCATGACCTGAGCTGAAGGCAGACACTTAACTGACTGAGCCACCCAGGCGCCCCTCAGAACACTTTCTTACACAAGAGTTACATTCTTTGTGAATTGTCCTGATTCTGATTTATTTCTGATATTAAGGACATTTTATGCAGAAGTGTTCTATTTCTGAATTTATGTTGAAGTGAGACTGTAGCATAAAAGGTAATAGGTTCTTTATTTGGGGTTGTTGCCACCAAGAATGTGGAAGTAGTAGAGATGACTGACGTCTTTAGGCTGTAGGAACATTATAATGTGACCAGTCACATGAGCAACAGCTCATCAGAAGTGAGGTATTGAAGGAAAAGGAGCTAACAGGTAAGAGGAGACATAGAGAAAGAATCTGAACATTCAATTAAGTCAAATGATTTTGGAAAGACAAGAAGCAGAAAGAGAACCAGTGAATAAAGCAGCTATGAAAAAACAATTGCGTGAGGATATTTGACAGGAACAAAGAAACCACCCAGGTGGAAGAATCCAAAAACATGACTCTCCAAAGATGGAATAGATATGAAATGTTTAGGGCAGTGATTCTCAGATATTCCTGTACACCTGAATCACTTGGGGATTATGATAAAAGGCAAATTTTGGTTCAGTGGGTTGGAGGTAGAGTCTAAGGCCACATGTCTAACAACTCCCTGTGCTTGTTTGTTGCGGCTGGTCTGCGGCCCACACTTCTGGTAGACAAACTCTAAAAAGGGGTAATTAACTAACTGTTGGAGCAACAAAGCAATTAAAAAGGGTGGTGGCCTGTGTTCCATAAAACACCAACATTCAATTTCAAAAACAAACGAAGGCAAGTTTTTCTAACTGACAAGTATGTATTTATCATGATTGTGAAAGATAAAAGCAAAATCAAAGTTAAGTGTGTCCAGAAACTTAGCGGTCATAGCAAGAAAGCAGCTAAGTAAGATTATTATCCACTTGTACTTATTTACCTTATTCATTATTATTATACACTGTTAGTGGAAAAATTTTAAGCATACACACAATAGCTGGACCTGATGTAAGAAAAATTATTGGAAAACGTTTCATTTAATTTGAGAAAATTTTAACTATTAACTGAATATTTTTTTCTACTTAGGGAAAGACTAACATTCTTTATCTCAAGTGTAACCTGCAACCCTCTATTCTTCTTCTGCAGAAAAATACTTGTGGAGTTATAGTTATCATGCCAATTAATTATCTCCAAGTATGAAGATTGTGATTGAGGCTTCTGTGCTATAATACCAGTAAAAAATCTAGGCTCCTGGGTTAAAGGCTTCTAGAAAGCTGCTTTTCACTTGTGGACATAGTATGTGACCCAATACTAGCACTGCCCCCTTTTTGCTGACTGGCTTCCCAGGTCTGGAGGTTGCACATCACTGGATCTCCATCCCCTTCTTTGCAGTCTACGTCTCTGTGCTTCTTGGCAATGGCACGCTCCTCTACCTCATCAAGGATGACCACAGCCTCCATGAACCCATGTACTATTTCCTTGCCATGCTGGCAGGCACAGAGCTGATGTGACATTGACAACAATGCCTACTGTAATGGGGGTCGTATGGATGAGTCACCGGGAGATGAGCCACGGAGCCGGCTTCCTGCAGGCTTATATTACTCACTCCCTTTCTATTATGGAATCAGGTGTCTTGCTTGTCATGGCCTATGACCGATTCATCGCCGTCTGCACCCCTCTGAGGTATAACTCCATTCTTACCAATTCCTGGGTAATGAAACCAAGATTGGGGGTACTAATGAGGGGCTTTTTATCCCTTGTGCCTCCAATCGTGCCACTCTACTGGTTCCCATACTGTCGTTCCCATGTTCTTTCCCATGCCTTTTGCCTCCACCAAGATGTCATGAAACTCATCTGTGCTGATATTACATTTAATCGTGTGTACCCAGTGATTCTTGTTGCTTTGACTTTCTTCCTAGATGCTTTGATTATCCTCTTCTCTTATATTTTAATCCTGAAGACAGTTATGGGCATCGCCTCTGGAGAGGAGCGAGCTAAGGCCCTTTACACCCGTGTCTCCCATATTAGCTGTGTTCTGGTGTTTTATATTACTGTGATTGGCCTGACTTTCATCTACAGGTTTGGGAAGCATGAACCACATGTGGTCCACATTACCATGAGCTATGTCTACTTTCTGTTTCCTCCATTAATGAACCCCATTATATATAGTATCAAGACCAAGCAAATTCAGAGAAGCATCATTTGCCTATTTTCTGTGCACAGTAGGGCTTGAGCTTTTATTTCATAATCTTGAGATCTTTGGGAGTTTTTCATTTCAGTGTCTTTTTTCAGAGCTAGATGAGATTTTAATTATTACATAAAGCTATAAGTTGACTTGAGCAGATAGGTATTCTAATATTATACCTGTATTAGAATATATATATTAGAATAGAATATATATAGATTGTGTTATTAGAATATAATATTATTATATTAGAATATAATATATATATTCTGTGTATGTATTCCAATATATGTATTAGAATGCATATTGGAATAGAATATATAGAATGTTTTATTACAATATATATTATACACATATAATGCTGGTGATCTTGGGAAAATGGGATATAGGATAGAGGTGGGATGGGGCATTCCAGATCTTGTATGTGAAGAGAGAAGAAGTACTACTTCAGAAAATGTCAGATAAGTGACTAAACATAGCCTGGATCAAAGACAGTTCATCTGAAGGAAGACGTGCAGCTGGAAGTGTATTTTGTGTGTTATATAAATGATAATTAGAATGATCTGTTTTTCATCTTCCCATCTCTATGTTTGAATCTAACTATAATCCAAATGATGTTGCTCTAAAAGTAAGTGAATTTCAGTGAGGAAAACTAGCAAATGTATAGAACTCTAGAAAGCTTACATCTAGAGCTTCACTTTCCCTCAGTATATTAGTGGATTTTCTTAAATGGAAACTGATACAGCTCAAAAGCCAAATAGCAAGCCACCAATTTCCTATCAGCCAGTTGAAGCCAGAACTCCTAGCACACTTTGTTCTCTTCCCAATGGCTGCTGAACACCAACATACTAATTTTTCTTCTTTCTGGCTTTCTACTTCACCTCCCGATATTTTTCTTCTGTAAAAATGGAGTATAGATTTAGATATCTTTTGTTTCCATCTCCCCTTGCTTGCTTCTCTAACATAAAAGAACTCAGGCCTTTTTCACTTGAAATTTTTCTGTTAATCAAGTCAGAAAACCCGGCACAAGTAATGGTATGCACTGATGGAATAGTTTTTCCCCTCCATTTTGTTCAAAATCTTGTAAGGTTTTATGCTGTTCATTTTGGTTGAGTGATGGTGTATTGTCTGTTGTTCATGTTATAGGTGATAATAATTACCTTACCCATCTACTGTTAGTTCTATGCTACTATGTGGAGCTAGACTAGTTATAGGCATGTGACCTAAATATTTCTATATTCTGAAAAGGCTGCTAAGAACCTAGGTTGGCTCTTCTAGTTGGACCCTTCCCAATCCCCTAGTTTCTTATTCAAAGCTTATGTACAGAGCCCACGAAACAACCAGTCCAGTCTAAATTCAGTCTGCCTTACCTAAGAAACTTTCCATACTGATGTCATATCCAGGGAGTAAGGACTCTAAGAATATTCCAGTAATTTCAACATGGAAAAACCTCATCTGCTATTTTCACTAGAAAAAGCCTGTATCAATTGCCTCCAGTCTTACACTTTCATCATCCTTTCCTTAAATGCGTTATATCTGGAGATGCATTCTCTAGCAATGAAGAGCCAGAGGATCTCCAGTGTGAAAAATACCATTGATAAGACTTACTGTAATATTTAGAAATCTTTATAAGCAAAAGCAGTTGCAAGTTAAAAAAATTGACCCTGGCTTTCTTAAGCTAATAAAGAACATCACTGAAAGAATATTGGGATGACATTCAGAATTCAGCAAGGGCAGCAACTGTGTTCCCCCATCAGCTTACGATATCCCTAAGGATGACTGCCTACCATTCTGCAAACCTCCAAAGCCGTCAATGCAGTTCTTTAGAAAAAGATAAACAATTTTATTTGTGTGGTAAGGGCCGATTTATTTAATCCACGACAGATTTCAATGTCTCAGAGTCACAGCAAACATCCTGTTTCGGGTATTCTTTTTTTTTTTTTTTAAGATTTTATTTCTTTATTTGACAGAGAGAGACAGAGCGAGAGGGGGGAACACAAGCAGGGGGAGTGGGAGAGGGAGAAGCAGGCTTTCCGTGGAGCAGGGAGCCCGATGCGGGGCTGGATCCCAGGGCCCTGGGATCATGACCTGAGCCGAAGGCAGACGCTTAACGACTGAGCCCTCCAGGCGCCCCATGTTTCAGGTATTATTTTAAGAGCTCTCCATGAATCAATTTGTTGCATATTTATATCCACATAGCAGTTCTTGAGACGGGACAAACAAATCTAAGCAACACACAGCGTTCAAACACCCTGTTTAGGGACACAGAATTTTTAACAATTTTATTTATGAATAAAAAGTGATAGTTTTAGACACTTAATAATTTAAACATGGTGATGAAGATGTTGCAATTTTTCTTTCTTTGCCTTTTCTTTTTTGCCTGAAATCTGAAAAATATATTTTCAATATATTTTGCTAAACCTCTAAAAGTCTTCTTTGTCTGGGTCGTATCTTCTTCCCCTTCCTTCATAGGTGGTTTGTGGGCGTAAGCATGAGTCTGCATGCATGGGTGTATATGTGTGTGTGTAGGGGGGAGAAATCTCTAGAAACACTATGTACCCTTCTGATTCTCTCCAGATCTCACCTCGATCTTTATTTTCTCCATTTGAAAAACAAAGGTATTGTTGCATCTGGTTTTCTCTTTCTCTGTCTTAATTAGGAGACTGAAAAATTGAGTTGTTCAGGATGCAGAACTGTTAACACCCCAAAAGTAACTTTCTCGCACTACCTTGCAGAATTATACATCCCACCTGTAACCCCTGCAAATCACTAATCTGTTTTCTATCACTAGCGTTTTCTCCTCTCAAGAATGTCATGTAACAAAAATCAGACTGTGTGCAACTTTTTGAGATTAGTTTCTTTCACTTAGCAATGCCTTTGAGATTCATCTAAGTTGTGTTTACCAATAGTTCATTTTTCCTTAATTGTTGAGTAGTATTTCTTATATGGATATTCCATTATTTGGATGCTGTTTTCCTGGTATTCCCTAATAATTTTCTGTTGGTTACTGTTAGCCTCCAATTATGTTCCATTTTGACCATCCTTTCCCATGTCCATTCTTAAGACATTTCCCTCCTGCAGAACTCTACCACATCCAAAGTGTAAATAACTGGATTTTCCTGTCTTTCCATCTCTCTTACTCATACACCTATAGAATTCGCATGTGCCTTGGCATCTCTATATTAGATCTATCATTCTCTTTTCTTTAGTTTCTATCTTGTGAGTGTTCCCTCAGGAGACATCTTCCCCAACCACTCCCTTTATCTGACTTATTGCTGATCCCCTTGTTGCATTCACTGGCCCTGCCTTCTCTGATAGCTCACTCAAGCCTCTTAGCATATTATCAAAAGCTACCACTACTGAACTGGATCCAAAAGTATTGTTGACATATGGGGCCAGGGAGTAAAACTAGCAAAATAGGGATAATAAGCACAGATACTACACTTAAGATTAAGATTCAACTCCAAGACTGTAAATGGGAGATACCGGTATTTCTCTAAAGTGGCTTAGATGTGAAACCTAGATGCTCACATGAGTCCAGGGTATACCGATAATAGAAGAAAATTAGTTATATGTTCAGATCTTACTGTTGTTACTCGATGCCCTGAGCGCTTCATCCTTTTATCTAACTGATCGTCACGTAATTTTCATTATAATTCTTAATCGTCAGATGAAGAGACTGAGATGTAGGTAGATTATCTGGGTAGGTTAAGTATTGTGTCTAAAATCACACAATGTGGAACCTAATTATATGTATCCATACAAACAGAGTTTGTGGTCCAAGTGAGAGAAAAATTTTCTCTCCTTCATGTTCTCATCAGATGAAAACAAATAAAATATTCAATCCATCAATCATGCCTTAAATGGGATTCTGCATGTCTGTTGAAGACTTGGTGGAGGCTTATATAACTCAAACTATTGCATCTGAGAGGTGAGTGAAGGTGGGTGACCCTAACAGAAGGGAGAAGGAGGTTGGCAAGACTGTGTTTATGAGTATATATAAAATCAACATTAGGCTTCTCTGTGTCAATGGGCTATATTTGTGAATAATATGTATAAGAAAGTGTGCCTGTTCGCTTATAAGTGTTTCAGTATGTCTAGAGGTGTCCACTACTTTGAGTTGCTTTAACATGCCTGGATATCTCTATTTACTTTCTTAAATCTTAATGATAAGTGTGTATCATAGTAAACATCTAACAAATATCTAAGGAATCATTTAACATGGTGCACTCACCAAAATTCATTAAGTGCCTGATATGTACCAGGTCTTATAATGAATACTAGAGAAGTAAAGGGGAAAAAATATAATCCTTAATTTAAAGAGCTGTGTGGTCTAGTTAGGGAGAAAGACATACAAACACAGAACTGATATATGTAGAAATGAACTATAAGAAAATGCAGCATATTTACCAAGAGCCTTTGGGATCATAGAAAGGATGATCAGCTCATATGGCCAAGGGCAGACAAGAGTTAACTAATATGAAGTGACTTCAAAGGAGAAAATGTGCCAGAAATTCCCTTTCCATATATCTTCATGATGTTGTCACGATGGAACAGATGAATGCAACAAATAAATTTTAATTAAGTAATATTTATGCTTAATGAACAATATTTATATTAGATGTTTTAACCTAAATCTGTCTTTGAGTGTTGCAAAGCAGCTGTTAGCCATTGTTAAATATGGATTGAGGTAGGAATCTATACATACAGAAGAATGGAAAGAAGAAAACAGAACAAAGACCTTATAAGACAAAAACCTTACAATCATAAATAGAAATTGAAAAGGGATTAGAAAAACTGACATTTTATGGAAAGTGAGATGGGTAGATAAAATGTGGGTAAAAAGTGCTATTTTAAGGAAAAAGTAAATCTCCATATTCCAAGTTTCTATGTATAAAATAATTAAAATCTATGGCATTACATTTTAAGGAGGTAAAGTGTTAGATCAGTATAGGAAAGACATTTGTAACAATTAGAGTTGCATAGTCATAGTAATGGAACAGGTTATCTCATACGCACCACTATGAATGCCCCAGAAAAAGCAGCAAAAATATTAACTAACATCTTAAGGATCTAGGCACAATGTAGAAGATTGTACAAAGCCTCTAAATTTTCTATGAACTCTAAGACTCTCAAATTATTCATCACCTCACTTATGTGCAAATATTTTTGATGCAAATGCTTACATCATAGTCCAGTCAAAAATCTCTGTACATTATTGAAAATTTCCCATTTATAACTTTGTTCTTGCTGCTTCTTTAGGAATAGCCCGCTTTTTAAAAAATTTTTTATTGTTATGTTAATCACCACACATTACATCATTACATCCATGATTCATTGTTTGCACATAACACCCAGTGCTCCACGCAGAACGTGCCCTCTTTAATACCCATCGCCAGGCTGACCCGTTCCCCCACCCCCCTCCCCTCTAGAACCCTCAGTTTGTTTCTCAGAGTCCATAGGAATAGCCCGTTTTTGATCTACCTGATAAAATCACATCCCTTTCCAAAGTCTGCCAGTGTGCTCTCTTCTCTTTTAAATGTCCATCCAACTTTTTTCTGTAGAAGAAACTTAACTCTTCTTTGTCACATAAGTGTGTGTGTGTGTGTGCGTGTGTGTGTGTATATATTCCAAGTGATTATCACATAGAATACTTATCCATGAAAACTAGGACCTAGTCTTCCAAACCCTTCTAGGCTAGACATATTTTAGTATTTGTGGGAAGGAGAGAGCCTCGGCTCATATCCACAGATGAGGCAACTAATAGAGCCGCGTGTCTGTCTGTGGCACATGGTTCCTGCAAGCTCTCAGTCTCCTTGGCATGCTACTGGATGCTCCATGCATATAGGACAAGTGGTTTCTCTTGGAAAAGATGTCACTTTTGCCAGGGTGTTCTCCAGAAGGAACTAATCTCTCTCCCGTTCCAGAGAAAGACCCAGGTTTAGCCCCTGATGACATGATCTCATCCTTTGATTCCCACCTCTATCCATATGTGATCTTCATGTCCTTGCTCCAATTCCCACACCCTCAACATACACACGAGAATAATCCAAAAGTAATATTGATAATAGTAATAACAATATGATTATTATGGCTGATGCTACACACAAGACATTGCTCTTACATTAATTCATTCACTCTTTACAACAACACTGAGAGTCAGGCATCTGTATCAACCCCATTTCTACAGAGTAGGAGACTGAAGCACAGAGGCACACAGTGTTGTCCCGAGATCAAGCAGCTGGTAAATAGCAGAGGGGAAAACTCAGCTCAGGTTGTTAGGTTCTAGAATATGTGCTCTTAACTATTATATAATAATAATACCTGACAAACCATTTTTCAAAGCCTAAGTCACTTGTTCTGGACTAAGACACACTTTGAGGTGAGAGAGGCTGGATTTAGCCACTATTACGGAGTTTGGTGAGCTTTTGGCATGCGTCTCATCCTCACCGCTTATGCATAAAACCTACTTACTTTCTCATGCCTTTGATTTTACAGTTAATACTCCTGTTGCTTTGGGGCATGTGAAGTAATGCTGATTACTCATGACAAGACAAGAGTGGCAGAGAGAGTACAGATCACTGGGATCTACGTGCTCCTCTATCTTTCCCATCTGCCCTTGCAATTACATTGGCCACATGGCTGGTTCTGACTAAAGGAACTTGAAGATAATCATGTGTCCCTTGAAGATAATCATGTGCCAAGCCAGGGGTATCTTCTCATCATGCGCTCTGTCCTGCCATGTGGCGAGAAGGAAAAGACTGTGAGATGGTGAATTCAAACGCTGGAAAGAGCCTGCATTCCTGTGCCTCTGCTTGGAGGTGAGAACCCAGCAGAACTAACTGATAATTCACACTGAGCAATAACTAAACCTGAATTGTGTGAGAAACTGCCTAAAATTAGTGAAGCAAACCATGTTTCTGATGCACACTTGTATTTGTTTATGGCTTATTTATTTGCTTCTACTTCAGTTCTGTTTTCTGTTAAATGCCATTTCAAATCCTCACCTCGTGGGCTGAGTTAAAGTGACCATCGGTTCCAGACCTCCAAATATGACAGATACTTTCTTAGTTCACTCTCCCAAATTTGCCCATTTCCTCAAGTTCTCCTAGACTGATCATCATTCGTGAATTATAAAGAATCACTGAATGTTTCCCAAATCCATTATTGCATCCTTCTACATCTGACAAGTTAACTGTGACCCAGATCTCTGAGTAGAGTTAAGACAAAGGTCTTAGCTTCTGCAGTGCTTTAACCGGCATGCCCATGGTGACTAACACCAACAGTCTTCTACCTCATCCTCGCAACTTCCCTAGTCCTCCCTGCCCGGATCCTATCCCTTCTGGCCAACATCAGGATAGAACCCTTGACTGATGAGCCCATGCTCCTCTCCATGTTGGCTCAGATGGGTCTGGTCTTTACTTTCCCACGTCCTTCCCAGTCATAGGGAACCTGTGTTGCTGTGCCTCAGAGTTTGGCTTTTAAGCTTATGTTTACTTATGCGTCGTCTTTGGATTGTGTTTACGAAATCCTCTACACTAATGGTCTAATCCTTTGACTGCCAGGTGGCTGTCTCCTACTACGTGTATTGTGCCTCTGTCTTTATTCACAGAGTCAGTCACCTGCCCTTTTGGTGTCACCATCATCTCCGGTTAGGTGCTGTCTGTTCTTTTCTATTATTCTGATCAAATGGCTTTTTGTTTCTTGTTCCCACCATCTTTCTCATCTCTCTTACCTCCATCTTCACCTGATCTACTCAGTCTGTACTTTTGTCTGGTCTAATAATTGGTATGGGTTTAAGCTAGTATTGCTCACTGTAATAGGGAATACATTGTCCGTTATTTTTTCCTGTGCACCGACATGGAGAAGTATTCAGTCATTCCACTCTTTGTGAGAAATATCTGTAAACTTTCTAGTTCACTCTGCTATAGCCATTTCAATTTAGACCAGTGAGCACCAGGGTGCCTTCTCAGATTTAACGTCCCACAGTCTAGTGGCCCACACTCAGGAGAATCTGATTAATTACTGTGAAGGATGAGAATGCCAGTGGTAATTGCAAGGATTAAAAAATGGATCATTTCAATCAAAATATTATTTTTTCTTATTATTATATTGTATTATATAATATATAGATTGTTATTATTTAATCTTATATATTATTAATATAATTATTTTAATTATTTTTAAATTAAATTTTAATTAAAATAATTATTTTAATTATTCTAAATAAATAATTATTTAATATTATATAATTTATTATAATTATATAATTATATAATATATAGAATATAATATAATGTATTATATTCTCTTGCACGTACCTGGAAGAACTCTTTTAAAAAAGCAGGCTGCAATTGTTGCTTTGACCACTAGAGGGAAGGAGACACCCATGAAGTTAAGACGCCAAGATCCGTGGAGCCTCACAGGAGGGAAGGGGTCTCTTGACTGAAGGTGGGAGCCCCCACCTTGCAGAGATGGGACATCTGGGCGCCCTGTCACTTTCCCTTTTTCCCAGTTATATCACCCGAAAAAACGTCTACATTCCCTTCTTCATATCTAATAGTAAAGCAAAGGAGAGTAAAATGTCAGCTTGGATTTTCAAAATGTCAGACTTTCCAAAATGATTTTAGATACTAGTGTGTATTTATCCTAGGATTACAGAAAAGATAACATTACCTCCAACTTAATATAATGGAAGTAATTTTTTTTCAAGAGATAAAGAAACAAATATTAAATCTCCTTCCCCACTCCTCCACTCCTCTTTCCTTCACTCCCTCCCTCTCACCCACCAGCTCCCTCCCTGTTATCAGAAATATTTTCGGAAGGACTCACATCAGACAGCTAAAGCTGGTTACCTTCAGGGAGAAGAATGCTGTTAGAAAGTAGGGTTAGGGTATCTTGGTGGTGCAGTCCCTTAAGCGCCTGACTTGTTTTTGGCTCAGGTTATCAGGGTCATGACATCTAGCCCTGCACGGGGCTCTCCACTCAGTGCAGAGTCTGCTAAAGTTTCTCTCTCCCTCTCCCTCTGCCCTGCCGCCCCCCGCCCCGTGCACTCTCTCTCTCTCAAATAAATAAATAAATCTTAAAAAAAGAAGGTAGGCTTGCATGGGTCCTTTCAATTTTTAGTTTGTATGTATCTGTATTGTTGGAGTATTATATAAGATAAATAAAATAATATTCTAGCTATATAATGTTCAAATATTTCCTTACATAATCTGACTTATAGTTTATTCCCTCGGAAAAGGAGGATAAATACTTGCTGTATAGTGTATTAATGATTAAATAAGATAAGGTCAGACTGACTCCTAGACTGTGCTTAAAAATATATATTAAAAAGTGACATCATAAAGACAGTATGGTACTGGCACAAAAACAGACACATAGATCGATGGAACAGAATAGAAAACCCAGAAATGGATCGTCAACTAATTTTTGACAAAGCAGGAAAGAATATCCAATGGAAAAAGGACAGTCTCTTCAATAAATGGTGTTGGGAAAATTGGACAACCACATGCAGAAGGATGAAACTGGACCATTCCCTTACCCCATACACTAAAATAAACTCAAAATGGATGAAAGACCTAAACATGAGACAGGAATCTATCAAAATGCTAGAGGAGAACACAGGCAGCAACCTCTTCAACCTCGGCAGCAACCTCTTCAACCTCAGCTGCAACAACTTCTTCAAAGGCAAAGTAAACAAAAGCAAAAATGAACTATTGGAACCTCATCAAGATAAAAAAGCTTTTGCACAACAAAGGAAACAGTCAACAAAACTAAAGGTAACCGACAGAATGGGAAAAGCTATTGCAAATGTCTTATCAGATAAAGAGCTAGTATCCAAAATCTATAAAGAACTTAATCAAACTCAACATCCCCCCCAAAAAATAAAATTCCAGTCAAGAAATGGGCAGAAGACATGAACAGACATTTCTCCAAAGAAGACATACAAATGGCCAACAGACACATGGAAACATATTCACCGTCACTAGGCACCAGGGAGATACAAATCAAAACCACAATGAGATACCACCTCACACCCGTCAGAATGGCTAAAATTAACAAGTCAGGAAACGACAGATGTTGGTGAGGATGCAGAGAAAGGGGAACCCTCCTACACTGTTGGTGGGAATGCAAGCTGGTGCAGTCACTCTGGAAGACAGTGTGGAGGTTCCTCAAAAAGTTGAAAATAAGAGCTACCCTAAGACCCAGCAATTGCACTACTAGGAATTTATCCAAAGGATATAAATATAGTGATTGGAAGGGGCACAGGCACCCCAATGTTTATAACAGTAATATCCACAATAGCCAAACTATGGAAAAGGCCCAGATGTCCATCAACAGATGAATGGATAAAGAAGCAGTGGTATATATATATATATATATAAAGGAATATTACTCAGCCATAAAAAAATGAAATCTTGGGGTGCCTGGGTGGCTCAGTCTATTAAGCATCTGACTTCGGCTCAGGTCATGATCCCAGGGCTCTGGGATCGAGCCTCACATGGGGCTCCCTGCTCAGTGAGGAGCCTGCTTCTTTCTCTACTTCTGCCTGCCACTCCCCTTGCTTGTGCTCCCCCTCTTTCCTTCCCTCTCTCTCTGTGTGTCAAATAAGTAAGTCAAATCTAAAAAAAAAAAAATTTAGTCTTGCCATTTGCAGTGACATGACTGGAACTAGAGGGTTATATTAAGTGAAATAAGTCAGTCAGAGAAAGACAAATACCATATGATTTCACTCATATGGGGAATTTAAGAAACAAAACAGATGAATATGGGGGAAGGGAAGGAAAAATAAAATAAAATGAAAACAGAGAGGGAGGCAAGCCATAAGAGACTCTTAACTATAGGAAACAGAGTTGCAGGAGGGGAGGCGGGTGGGGGGATGGGGTAACTGGGTGATGGGCATTAAGGAGGGCACGTGATGTAATGAGCACTGGGTGTTGTATAAACTGATGAATCACTGAATTCTACCTCTGAAACTAATAATACAGTGTATGTTAATTAAGTTGAATTTAAATACTTTTTCAAGTGACATTTATAGGGCTCTAAGTTTATGCTAGACACTATAATAAGTCCATTGATTCATTCATTCATTAGGGTCTAATTTAAACACTAGAAGCAGACACTTATCTTGATTTCATGCTGGAGACTTCCAGACTCATAGAAGTTAATTAAGTTGCCCAATGTCATAAATATGTTCCAAAGACTGAACTCATACTGTGGTTTGTCTAATTTTAGATACCACCTTCCTACACACAGCACTATGTCATAAATATGTTCCAAAGACTGAACTCATACTGTGGTTTGTCTAATTTTAGATACCACCTTCCTACACACGGCACTATTCTTATATTTTAAAAATTATTATTCTCTGGTTATTATGAAGACAGGGAAACACAGAGAAGGCAGAGTGTATTCCCCCCAGTCTCAAAATTAAGTTAAGCAGCTGACAGAGACTTACAGGCCAGTCTGGGGACCGCAGGAGGTAGCAGAGTTGTACTTCTACTTTAGTTCCACACTCAAACACACACACACTTGAGCATTTAGATACTATACTCCACTCTGGCCTTTTTGTTTATATTTATTTCTATTTGTTTATACTACACTCTGGCTTTTTTGTTTATATTTATGAATCACAAATGAGCGAGTGAATGGATAGATAGGTAAATGAATAGATAAAGTAAATGTTTCCCTTCATGATTGGCTGTGCACCCTGTTGGAAATGTACCTGTTCATATGGGATACTTGGCTTTGTTTACTTCCTCAGTGCATAGGTTAGATTCTGATGTCCAAAATCGTCTAAAGACGGGAAAAATCAGTTTCTGACCCAAAACTAGTGTTTCATGGACAACTGGACTAAACGGGTGCAGAAACATGTTAATAGGAAATGAACACTAATATCTTCTCATTTCCCTGAATCTGATCCCCGCCTCTCAGCCCTTTCAGACCCCCTCCTACTGCACCAAGCCTGGCAAGTAGGCAGGAGAGCTGAACTTGGGAAACCAAGGAGAGAAGTATGCTGACCCCCAAAGACACAGACCCAAACTTCTGAAGTCTTCACTAACCCTGCAGGTGGGCAGGGGTCACCTCTCTGCTGGCTTCAGGGAAGGGGATAAGGACTAGCCTGCACTTTTATTCCGAGGCAGTACTGACCTCCAGGCAGTACCGTTTTGGGACCACTAGTTCTTTGCAGAGATTTCTACCTGAGGACAGCTAACTAGCAAGTAGAGGGCCTCTGACTACACCCTGTCAACCCAGGCTCCACTGCTGGAAAGATCCAAGTTCCTGTTTGTGATTTAAGCTCTTTTTGGTTATAGAAAATCAAATTCTCACCTCCATCCCCACCCATGCTAGGCATTGGAATGTTAATTCTGTAAGGTCTACTCTCTACTCTCCCTCAGGCAGGTTAAGGAATTGTTCATTAAAATACTCTGAGATGCCTTTCCTTGATTTTCTCCCATGTATCAGGCATAGGACTATGTGCTATATATATATATATATAATGACAACATTTGGTTAGTTTTTATTGTTTTTTTTATTGATAAAAAACTGAGGCTTAGAGATAATAGCTTTTATTTTCTGAACTCATAGAGACTTCTTTTATTGCCCATAATGTAATTTTCCTGACACTAACAATTAAAAGCTATTGTGAATTTACAGAAACACAATAAAGCTGTGAAATTAAGTCTATCGCCAATTTATGGGGGAAAAAAAAAAACAAATGAAAACCCAAACATGTTTTTCTCCCACTAAGCCACTGAATCAAGAGAAAGAGGAAAACACTGAAAGTAAATTTCTCAGTGGTTCCTGACTATTATGCAAACACAGGTTTGTGGACCTGGGAGGCAGCCGTGTGGGGCGGGATGAGGTTTGGATGGGATGGCATATAGTTTGATGGCCTTACCATCACTTTTAGAGCAAGAGAGCTCTGTGGGCTCACACAAAAGGGGCTGCAGGGTATACATAGACCTCTAAGTGTTGTTTCCCTCCTCGGGGGAGAAGAGTCGTAGCCTGAGCTTATGGACTCTGAGCCCTTTGTCCTTTCTCCCACTCAGCATCCAGGTCAGAAGGACATGGCTTGTCCTCCCCTGTGCTAGGCTGACTCAGCCATGGGAGGAGGCCCTGCCAAGGCTCCGATAGCCCTATCTCTAGGGCCAGGACCCAGGACGGGCAGCCTCTCCCTCCCAGTCCCAGAGTACGGTTTGCTTATTTATACATTTAAATTATATATTTATTTTTAAAGAAATAACCAGAAGCCCGCCCAGCCTTGGCTCTGGCATGGAAACCACCTAAGATATTTTAGATTCCATCCGTTCCTTCTCTCTGAATGAGCAAAGGGGCTCAGGGGACCAAGTCAGGAGCTTCGAGTCCTAGCCCGGGCGTATCCACAGCAAATTAAATCATAGTGAGAAAGTTCTGCCTTTCTCTGAGCTTCAGTTTTCTCTTCTGTAAACAGCAGGCTAGAGTAAATGGCCCTTCTTCCAACACAGAATTTCTGTTGATTAAATTCATAAGTTTCCTCAACTTCTAAAGCAGGTATGTCATTGAACCACTACTGTTCAATGAGCAGGATGCCCCCAGGGCCTCTCACTCAGCTGTGACATTCTCTTCCTTAACCGGGTCCACTGAGGTACGAGCTGTGTGTGTGTGTGGGCTCATGTCTGAAGAGAGAGTGCCCCTCTTCCTTCTGTTCCCATACACCTCTAGGAAAGAATGTGACACCTTCCTTACATAAGCTTCCCACTAACCCATTTCAGAAATTCAAACCCTTTGCTGCAGTGAAGTCCTAGACAGTGGAGAGCAGTGGTTAAGAGCAGGGGCTCTGGGGCCAGAACACCTGCGTGGCTGGCAACTCAGCACTTGTACTGGTTGGATTGCTCAGTTCTCTCATCTGTAAAATGGGGTTTTAACACCT